TGTAGTTCAGACTGCGGGCTCGTCTGTACGATTTGATCCCCCCGCAAAGATGGCCAGGCCGATCAGTTTTCATCGAGTAAGCTTCTTTCCATCCTGACGTTATCTTGACCTCATACCCATTCATAGCCCCATCCTGATTCCTTGCTCAATCCTGTCATGATTAAATGGTACGTTCAAGTCACATATCATGGTCTATTTGTTCAACCATATATCTTTATAGGATTGGTAGCCGCCTGAACCGGTGCTATGGTTGGACAACCGCGACGTTTTTACTCAGTGGCTGACAATCTCTGGGAAATACATCACACCGAAATATCTACGCAAACTGAAGGAGGGGAGAGGTTAACAAGCCTGTTGCAACCAACCCTCTGCTCAGTGTCTTCCCTGCTTTTGTGAACCAATTCGTATATACTTATTCAACACCATCTGAGGTACTGTTGCAAACTGTCTTGAGACTCAATGAGAATTGCTCCTGTGCATTCAATCTAGCGCCCTGGGCGCTCGTTATCCTTTTTAATCGAATGGCGTCAGGCCGTCGTGACGCGTCCAGAGTGGGCTGTGATAACGAACCAATTTCTGACGCCATCAACTTTGGGGTATTCTCACTGGAGTAGTGGCATTTCTCAAACAATATCAAGTAGGGTAACTCAAAGTAAGGACTCTTGTAGGCTAAAAGCCGGATTCTGGTATCAAGTGTTCTAGATAGACCGCGATCGAAACCTCACCTCACTAGCCGTATGCACCTATATACTCTGTATTGTTAAAAGCTGCAACTCCGGATGTCCATAGTAACTTAGCTGCGTAGCGAGAACAAGATGAAAGGTCCGAGTGCATACGGCATGCTGGCACAACCTCTACCAGTTCCTTCCTATTGTTGTCTGACCGCAACACCCACGATTCTACGCGTCATTTGACATCTGTTGACATGTTTAAACTTATTCTGGGTGTACTGACGTGCCAGAATTTGACACAAGACTGCGTCCTCAAGTAAAATAGGTGTTAGCTACGAGTCGGCATTTCGTGGCTTCTTATCAACACCTAGTGCGACAGCTTATTTTCTTGTAAACAGGACAATATGTGTAAGGTTTAGTGGAATCATCGCTGCTTGCTCCTCCTTCTGGACAAAAACCGAGATAACCAATATTCGAGGCCAGTCCTCTGAGACACATCTACAGCGAATACGAATTCAAACATCTATACAGATAGAGCCAGACGCTGAGGTGCAAGCCCTCGAATAGCGGAATGGTTTTTCAAGGCGGGCAAGTACACGGAGGACCCAAAAGCCCTGAAAGTTGTGGCCTGATATCGAGTCCTTTCGTAGTCTCGCTTCCTCGACAAGGATCTTTCGCGCTATTTATACGAAAAAAAAAAAAAAACAAAAAACACTTTGAATAGAGAGATCCATTGGCTTTCGTACTGCATTTGGCGTGAACACATCGGACCCATAGCAGGGGCCGGTGCCCTTGGAACTTCGTTCTGGAATTGGGCAAGCCAGCTGAAACCTAAAAGAAGATAATGGTTAGATTCAAATAATCGAACTTTTTTGGAAAGAAGACTGACCAGGAATAGCTACATCCTGCCGTATAGATGGGTCTGCTATGGATTGCAACCGCATGAATTCACCATCGGGGATAGAGCTGTGGAGGAATTCCATCAGGACTGGGTCGAAAGATGATCCATGGAGGGCAGTATTATTATTATCGGGAGCGAAAGGATCAGTAGCTCCTCCCGATGGCATGAACTGATCAAACGTCATTGCGCTCTGGGATGGTAGTGGAGAGAAAGAAGAAAATGTCGTCGCAGGAGGTGGCCGCTCGAACCCGGGGTTTGGCCCGTTGCCAGCGAGTTCTGAGACGTCGCCGCTCTGATTTGAAGCTGACTTGATACTATTTGAAGGTTCGGCGACCGCGGGAGAGGCTAGCAGACCTTTCAGGAAACAGGCGTACAGTTTGGGGCTGTGACGGTCATCGATAGCAATGTCTGGGCTACTGAAAAAGTCGATGACCATCTGGACGCGAGCACGGATGAGGGCGCGCTGATGGGTATCGATGTAAGTAGCGAATTTTGGCTGGAGCAGTTTGACGAGAAACGCTGCCGCAAAAGCAACAAAAACACTTTGAGCTTCGGGTCCATGCCGAATAAAGATTCCTGCAGAAGAGTTAGAAAATTATTATCAATTTAGGAATGGTATTGTCCACGTTGACTGGGAAGACCAATATCCTCAACCATTGTCTGGATGATATCATTTGCCGCCTTAAGGCATCGCTCTAGGAACGGAATGTCATCCGAAGAGTTCTTCCCAAATGCGTGCTGGAAACCATAAGACAGAACAATGAGACGAGCGTAACCAAACTCCAGCTTCAACAACCCAAGGCGAAAATTGCCTGGAGGATCACCCTTGTCAACATTTTCATCTAAAATCGGATACCACCTGTCCTGAAGCGCAAGGAATTCTTCGTCGGTTTCCGCAGCAATCATGACAAAATTAACATCCTGTCCGAATATATCATGAGTAAAGTGAATACAGGACAACAGTGAATCATACGAACTTTGTTCAGCCCTGTAGGGTGAGATGGATCGCTATAGATTCTTGACCGGAACTTTGCCATAACTTTCAGTTCTGAATTTTGGCAGCAGAGTTGAATGTCGAAATTCTTCATGTTGTGAGGCGACGAGCTCCACCAGTCTTCTGAATGGTTCGCAATGAAACCATCCTTACTGATGATCGGGGGTTTCCCGTTCTGCGATCCCGTGCTGCGGTCAAGGTTAAAGCAGCTCAACCAGACTCTCGTTCGATTGAGCTGTTCGCGGGTATGCATTTCATTATGAGATTTGGCAGTATTAGGAAGATGGAGATTGAGTTCTGTTGCGACTCTGAGCAGGAGGTTAGTGGGCGGCTACAAAGAAATACTTGCAGAACTTTACCGAATAGCGACTCCTAAATATAGCCAACTTCTGGACTGTTCCCAACGCTTCAGAGGCGGGGGTACAGACTCAACAAGATATAAGCGATACACATCTCGACGTTCTTGGGCCCGCCAATTAAGGCAGTTCCAGCAGCTAGTTGCGCATAATTCATAAGCTGGACATAAAGATTGGGCTTTCCATTGTAAAAGCGGGATGAGATGGCAGAGACTAGATGAACATAAGCAGGTGTTTTCAGAAATGCTTGCTCCGAAAATCAACTCACTGGTTGTGAACAAAAATGAACTACGGTAGACCGTCTTCTGCGCTGTGTAAAGTACCGGGTCAACGATGGATACAGATGGGTTTACAAGATCGAAGAAGCTATGGCCGGGTATATTAACATTTGTACCAGTCAACTGCAATGATACTTACATTTTGAAGAGTTTCTCCACATCGTCCGGCGTTATTATACCTCTAGCCAAAATATGAGGCAGCTGTGGCAGGTTTGTTGGAAATTCTCTCGCGGTATCTACAATCAATCAGCTGAGAGCGGAGGAAAGATAGATAATGTCTACCAAGCCTGAAAAAGTCGGCATTTGCGACACCTGTTCCAGTCTTCGGTTCATCCATCTCTGCTTCGGAACTACTATCATGCTTTCTCTGCTTCAAGCTCAGTTCTGCTATTAGTCCGAAAGGGACAGCCTCGTTCGGTATAGTCACCGACTTTGCAGCCACTTCCTTCTTCTTCAACCCAGAAACACGCCCGGCACCCAATCCAGACAGCCACTTACTGCGAGCACGTTGACGTCCGGAAACCTGAGGACCCCATTCTTCACCTTCATCGTCGACGATAGCCAACTCGTATTCCCCGTCAATTTGTGAGGCCGCTTGATCGCCCGATTCGCTTTCGTTCTCGCTATCCGAAGAACCTTCAGGATCTTGTTCGACCCAATAGCTTTTCGGCATGTTCGCGCTGGCCATCAGTTTCTGAATCTCTTCCGCTTGCCTCTGGATCTCATTTAGCAGATGCTCACGTTTACTAAACGAAGGCTAGTTAAAGTATAAGATAACCCACAGAAGGACAGACCCTAACGGAGGAGTGCGGCGCTTTTTCCGAACCGGAGTCACACATTCATGACCACCGTTCAAGCATCTTTTACACGGATCGGTGTCTGTCTTGAATTCACAACGAACCTTGAGATTTCTGCATCGAGCACAAGATCCACTGGAAAGAAAATGAATCTACAATAAGGATAAAATCAACGTTGTACACACGACTTGACAAGTTGTTTTGATTCTGCCATGACGGGATCTTCATCATCCATTCCGCTCTGCTCATCTGACCGGACCCTTTACCTTTTGCGGGGCCGCATCGCAGAAGAAGAGGGTACAGGAGCTGATTTCGTGCTGTAAAAAGCCGGCGCAGCTATGGAAGGGAGACGGGGAGACGAGGGTAGACTATATACGGAGTCGAGCATCAGAGCAGCAGGGGACATGGTGAAGCGATTGCTGAGAGGTTCGTTACTGCTACTTGACATCCAGCTGAACTTATCAGCAATCTCGTCCATGATCTGTCTGGGAAGGTCTGGAGCGAAGGGAGACGGCGACGTCTTGAAACCATCGAGCGGGCTGAGAGATGAGAAGACGCGGGGAGTGGCCGAGTCGACTGAAGACATCGGAATACGATAAGAATGGTAAGGTACTGCTCAAGGTGTTTACATGCATGCTCTTTTGATAGCTCTTTTTTTCTATAAAAGTAGATAGACAGTGACGCCTAAGCCTTACCGTCGAAGGCAGTGCGGGGGTTGTAAGGGGTATTTTTGTGTGACCGGTTACTGCGCACTGGACGAACTAACGAATGACTGACGACGTCAAACCGGCACTTCACTCAATGGAAAAAAGGATTTCGACTAGTGATAGACCGAGCTAATAAGTAGCGGGGCATGTCATGTTTGCCACTGACAATTTTAAGTTTCATCGATTGTCTGACCTAGAACTGTTTTGAATACAGGAATGTGAAATACACTACTAGAACTATTCCAAAGGGCTGACTCTCGCAAGAGAAGCTCAAAAAATTTCGAAGTCTCCAATATCTCCCTGGCTGGGAGTCGAACCCAGCTTTCGCGCGAAGAGTCTTTTAGCTGATGACAGGCGCGTGTACTAACCGATAGACTACCAGGGATATGTCTGCAACAAGATTCAGGTCAGCTGGAACCTCAAAAGTACTTAAAGTGTGAAGCAGGCAACCAATACTACCCGAGTCGTAGCAAGCTAAGTCCAGCGTCGTCTCACTGCAAAGTCTAGAGAGCGCTAAGTACGGGCAGAAGCTCTGGCTGAGCCGATTCAGAGGTAAGAAAGGTATCAATTCTGATTGACCAAACGAGCGACGTTTCATTAACGAAAACAAGAAACCGATCCAACTGAGTGCATATAACCACAATAAAAGGGATCTGCATGATAACGAAGACGCAGAAACAGACGAAAGGAGCGTTCAGTAGCTAGGAAAGAGAAATACTTTGAGCACGATGTCTCGATACTACGTAGATACTTTTCAGTCTTATAAAATGGAAAGAGAGGGTGGAAGGGGAGGATAGAGTCCAAAGCATTTTGCATGAAAATAAGCGCTGTAATTGTAGAGATCCGTATCCGCAATCGTGTTGAGCAGGAAAGAGAGTAGCAAGAGACAGCAACGGAGAAGATTCTTCACCCGAGAACACCGTTATGAGCCCTTGGGGGTAGAAGGTCTTGACGACGATTTGGCCAGAGGTGACCCTTTCCTCACTGGCGAGTTTGTTCCCACTCCCAAAGCACTCGGGGGCACTAAACCAGAGTCATTCATAGGGTTTCCAGCAGGCATATGACTTGGGGAGAACCGGGGATCGAACTGAGATGTCGGTGATCCTCCGCCCGACATTTGTGGACCCATCATACCTCCACCCATGCCTCCACCCGTTCCACCCGTTCCTGCCATCCCCATACCTTGGCCCATCCCCATACTCATCATCGACATTCTAGGGTCAAAGTTGCCACTCATCATTGGGTTCATGCCTCCGCCAGGAGTAGCGGCTGGAGATGATTTATTACCAGGATTGTTGTCGTCCCCTGCCTGTGACCCTGCAACTGAGAACGCCATCATTGCCTGCTGATATGCCTGAGCCGCCTGTTGAGCAGCGAACATATGCTGGGGGTTATACCCTCCTCCCATTCCCCCTCCGGTCATCATGGGCATCATCGGGTTCATTCCACCAGTCATCATGGGATTCATACCGCCCATCATCATCGGGTTCATTCCCCCAGTCATCATTGGATTCATCCCACCCATCATCATCGGATTCATCCCATACATCGACATCATGGGGTTCATCCCCATTCCGCCCATCCCTCCATACATTGACATGGGTCCACTCATACCCGCTGCACCTCCTTGCTCCATCTGCATCCTCTGCTGCTCATCCCACCTCCTCTGTCTCTCCTCCGCCAGCCTCCGCTCTCTCTCCCTCTCTGTCAAAGCGGCTCCCACTCCTCCCTCTCTCTTCCTCTCTCTCTCGTGCGCAGTAATCGCTCCCAATAGTCCGGTTTGAGGCGGAGGGGGCTTGTTCGGAACATTAATCAGACTTGCACCGCTCTCCCTGGCCAATTCTTCCTGGCGTTTAGCCGAGCGATCTTGTCTGTCAGCCATGCCGGCAGACAACAAACCTTGGGGTGTAAAGGCTTTAGTCATTTGCGATCCAGCAGGCTCGAGTTGGACGAAAAGCTCATTACCACCGCGACCAGTGGCTTGAGCGGAAGTGGGATTTTCGGGTACCGCACCGGGAGTGTGTGATGGGTCGAGGACCTGAGACCACATACTTTGACGTGGAACGCCGGGAGTGGCGGTAGGAGCGGCTAAGTTGTATTGAGATGAACGGATTTGTTGGTCGTCGAAGTAGGTACCACGCGAAGGCTGTTGCTGTAGTTGAGGAGAATATTGGTTTTGATCTGGTCGACGAAGAGCAGGGGCGGGATATTCGTCTCCTCCTTCTGCGGCGATGACTATAAGCACTTTTCAATAATGACAACTGCAGTTGACTTACCCATCCTACCCGGAGGCTGCGGTAACGTTCTCGGTGGCCTCAAACCTGAGTACTGTTGCCCTTGTCCACCGTGTGCGGCTCCCATGTGGGCTTCCATGCCAGGAGCATGACCATTTTCGCTTCCCTGTCTCCCACTTCCACTCGAATGATTATTCGAACTCTTCGCCTTGGCAGATGGTTGCTCGTCCGAGTCTACTTCATCATCATCATCATCTTCTTCTTCTTCACTATCGCTCTCATTCCAAGCGTTTGCATTGGGCACCGCACGCATCTTGCGCTGGTCCTTCCCTCTTCTCCCTCCTGCACCTTCAGAACGAGCACCGGGCCTGTGAGCAGCAGCAGCCTGCGCAGCTTGGGCAGCCTGCGCTTTGGCTTTACGTTCTGCAGCGTGTTTGGACGGGGCAAAGGAGGACTTGTATTGCGGGGCAATCTGTGCGTTCGGGGCCGAGATATGGGAAGAGGAGGCCGCTGTGTAAGGATCAGGGGATAAAGGCTCAGCGGCTGACGTGACACCGGCGTTTGAACGTGGATGCAAGGGTTCTACAGGACTCGATGCGGCTTTATTGTTTGAAGGACGAGCAGTGGCAGGAGTAGAAGGTTCTTCAGAATCGTTGACATCCAAATACGATAGAACCGCGAGTACATCGTCATCCGCTGCGTGCAAACCACCCGAGTGCGACGCAGACGAAGGTGCCTGTTGGTGCTGAATTTGCGGTGACGACGCCATAGGTGAAGCAACTGCAGATGAGGTAGAAGAGGACTGCTGTCTCAATCTTGGGGGAATCTTATCTGGTTGTTGTTCGTGTGAAGGCGCAATAGAGCTTCCCAAGTCGTCGTCGTCGTCGAGCTCTTCTTCTTCGACTTCGTCCAAGCTGTTGTTTGACTCCGGTCCAGGTGCTACGTGGTCGTGGTGTGCGTCAAAGGAAGAAAATTGATTCGTGGTCGTGGCCGTGTTGTAACCGCCTGGAACTCCGTAATTACTATTTGCATGGCCGTAACCGTCAGGGCCAGAAGTCAGCCCACCGTGTCGGGCCGGCGCACGTGCGCCGGAAGGCTTACGTCCGAGGGGAGGACCCAAACGACTCAAATTCGGACTTGATGAAGGTGGTGAGCGGAGAGGAGAACCTGGAGAGGCAACTCCGGGGGAAGAGGGAGGAACACCATCAGAGACAAACGCCATAGGGGTACCTTTCCTCACTACAGGCGACGCCGGATCTGGGGTGATAGTAGGTGTACCGGTCATAGCAGCTTCATATCTTTTCCTCAACTCATCCTCAAATCCAGCTTGGTTTGCCAAATATGCTCCCTCCCCTTCCTCGCTTTCACCATTAGGCTCTGCCTCTTGGATCGTCGTCGGTATCCTGCGAGCCCCACTCGCTGCAGTTGGTGTCGTAGGGGTGGTCGGCTGATCAAACTGGGACATGTAATATAACGCCCCCGCAGAGTCATCTAACCCAGCCGATTGAGGAGGGCTATTCAAAGCTCGAATACTAGTCGCGGGTGAACCCATCGGTGAATACGGGGAAGTAAGAACCGATGCCCTGTCCGCCCCAAATCCGGTACTCAGCACCGAGTTTCGATCGCCCGCAAGCCTACCAGGTGATCCTCTGCCACCCCCACCAGCACCAAGACCGCCGAATGCCTGAGCACCAGGGGCATGGTCCAAATCAACTGAATGAGGTGATGTCAAAACGCTTTGTGGGGAATGTGAACGAATTGGGGAGAACATAGGTGGAGGCGGAGTCCCACTACTCAAGCCCGTTCCAGGACTTGTAGACACATCTCCTCCGCCTCCTACACTCGCTCCCTTCCCACCAGAATGAGACGTCGAGTGTGTTGTAATCGACGCAGTACCAGAAACAGGGGACATGGGCTTGGATGAAGGCAACGCTGTATTAACAGCATTTGAGAAGCTGTCAAACGATGCTCTACCTCCTGTCGGGGGACTACCACCAGCGGATCTCCTCGAGGTGGAAGTATTGCTTCTCAAACTTGAATGATCCTTCTCTGGCACCTTAGGACTTTGTTCCATGTTCCTTTCCGTAGGTGTCACCGGACTCGAACTAAACTCCCTTTCCTGCTCTTCAAGCACAGGCGAAGGCCCACCATGTACTGAATTCCTAACGCCGGTTCCGAGCATGATGCTCGCTCCGTCCCTCGTATAAACCGAGCTCCTCTCCGTTATCGGGGTCAGGAGAGCACGATCTTCGTTCCGCACATTCGGGTTGGAATCAAAGGACAGAGGTGGGAGTTGCGGTCCACTGTTTGGAGAAATTGGTGGAAGTGAAGGAGGTGTCGAGGAGCTCGATGTCTGCGTCCCATGAGCTGGTCCACGGTCACGTCCGGGCAATCCTGCACTTCCTGGTGGTCCCATCTCCTCCATCTTCGTGGCCAGGACATCTATCAACTTTGAACGAATGGAAGAAGTGCGATCGTCTCGCGGATCGAGCGTCTCGGCTTGCTCACGGTCAAGGAAAAGCAGCTGAATAGCAGGAAAATTAGTAGGGCAGGGGAAAAGAGAGAAGAGGTTATAGAGAGAATTAGCATAGAAATATATATTAGAGAAGAAAAGATCATACAAAGAAAGGCGAGCAGGTAATGAATACTCACATCTTTATGCGGTCCGACAGGATACGCAAACATTAGACTCTCTGGATCTCTGGGATCCCATGTCCACGCTTGAGGTCGACCGTAAAGATGAAAGGCATCGTGGAAGGCTATTATTATATCATGCAATCAACGTCGAAAAGAAAAGACATCTATCAGCATCTATCCGAAGCATAAAAATCCTTTTTCACATCCTACTCACCAATAACCCACTTCAACATTTCCGCCGCCTGACTAAGCCCCCCCTCCAATTGAGGCATAATTAACACCCATCCCTCTCTTCCGCGCATACTTCCAGCTAAATCACCTTCTTTGGCACTGGGATGAACGTGAGCTGGGTCGGAAGAGAATGTCCCTTCGACCTTAAATAACGTGGAACGAGAGATTAACTCTGGACGTTCTGGATACACCGCAAAGACCTGCAAGAAAGATTGCGTAAAGTGTGAGGTGAGAACAAGAAAGAAGGCATGCGAAAAATTTCACCTGCGACACCGAACTCAAC